GCCCTCCGTGTCCAGCGGCCCCGTGGACGGGCTGGAGGCGGCCAGCCGGCCCTGCCTCAAGAGACAGGAGAGTGTGTTCTGAGCCGGGCAACCCAGGCGGACAGCCGGGAAGAGGCGGCGGGATGCTTTCCTTGCTTCCTGCTGGAGCCGCTGTCCGGGAGCCACAGGAGACAGTGCGCAGGCTGGCGCAGAAGCCGGCCCTGACCGCCCGCCTCCAGACAGCTCCGCTGGCCCAGGGACAGGAGCGTAGGGACACACACACCCCCCACGATTTCTCGGGAGACGGTGGCCCCGTGCAGGATACAGGCGTCCCCGCTTCCTGAGGATGGTGGCCCAGCCTGTCCCCTCCTGACTTTGAGCGAGTGCTCGGCCAGCTCAGCCGTGTCCCCCTCGGCCCCTGACATTCCACCAGGCCTCCCACCTGCCTCCCTGGGGTAGGGACCCTCTGCTGTCCCCACCGGATGCACCCCGGACCCGGATCCGTCTCACCCTCAGTCACCCCGGGTGGCAGGTGACAGGCACAGACCCTGCCGGCCCCAAGCTCAGGAAGCTCGCAGACCCCTTCCCATCACCTCATGCCCCAGGAGCCAACCACGGGGCTCACGTTCTCCCTGAATGTCACGAGCAGCAGTGAGGGACGTCCCCCAGGCGTGGCTCAGGACCCGCATGGGCCGAGGGCTCCGAGCGGATGAGCAGCGGCCAAGGCCGTGGCGTGGACGATAGCCGGTGTCTGCAGCCACAGCACGGCTCCCTGAGATGGTCCGGGGTCCCACGTCCGAGACCCCTGGGCCACGGCCAGTCCCCCCGGGGCTCGAGGGGGCCCCCCCACCAGCGAGCACCCGGCAGGACCCCTGTGGGGACCAGGCGCCTGCGAGAATGCCCGCCGCACGAGCCCGCGGGAGAGTCCGCACTCGAGCCCCTCCGTGCCCCACGGTCAGGCCAGCGTAGGGGCTCACACACGTGTCCAGCGCCAACATCGCGTGCATCCCTAGGGCCAGTCCGCACCGCCGCTAGGCGATCCAGGAGGCCGAATGATGGACTCCCACCAGCCGGGACTCGCCTGGAACAGCAAAGTCCTGCACTCTGCAGATCACAAAGGGACACATGGCATTGGCTTCGGGGCTCCCTTAGGACAGGGGACAGCCCTAGAGCCTGCAGGGTGACAGCTCGGAGGGGCCAGAGGACTCTGGGGCCAACGAGGCGGATGGCAGAGGGACAGGCAGCCTCCTCACGGGGCTCTCGGATGCTGACGGGTGAGCTGCCATTCAGGGGCTCGGGGACCTCCTGGCCCGACCCCCACTGCTTTGGAAGAAAACAATCTCAGCTGTGCTGGCTGAATAGTGTCCCCAAAAATCCATGTCTACCCGGGACCTCAGAATGTGACCTACTGGAGCAGGTGGCCCTAAATCCAATGAGTGTCCTTGTAAGGGACAGAAGACAAGAGACACAGATACAGAGAAGCCATGTGGACACAGAGGCAAACACAGGAGGGACGCGGCCACCAGCCCAGGGACGGTTGGGGCCCCCACACGCTGGGAGAGGCAGGAAGGACCCTCCCCTGGGGCTTCCGGAGGGAGCGAGGCCCGGGGATACCTGGATGTCACAGTGCTGGTCCCCAGGATGAACTTATGTTGCTTAAGCCCCCTTCCCCCAGCCCAGGGATGCGTACGGCCATCGGCCACAGCCTTGCAGCTGTGACATCCCCAGGGACAGTATCTGAGCCAGTTGGTCCCTGAATGTGCACTGTTTGCGGGCAGGTGACAGCCACCGTGGGAGCCTTGATGTGACAGCCTGGCACTTAGGTGACAAAAGACTTCCACAGACAGGTAGAGGTGACTCAGAAAAACGCTGGTGTGAGGGACCCGGCTTCCCACGAAGCTGTGGCCTTTTATGTTCTTCCCAAATGTCCCAACCCCAAACCCTAGAAATCAATGTCAACTCAGCCACGTCAACTCAGCAACTGGAGACGTGACCAGCAAGCCTGGGCCTGGGCCTCCTGTGTCTGATGCAGGGAAAAAAAAAAAAAGGTGTGAAAACCCTCAAACCACCCACAGAGAATGCACCTGTGAAGAGGCTGACAGACTGTCTAGGTTATGAGGTCCTGTCCCCGACAGACGTCACGTCCCCGGGGCCTTGTGTTTACACAGGCTGCTGCAAGCACACGCGATCCCTGCCTTTCGTCTCCCTGTTTATTTGGTGGTGATGCCCCTCAGCCAGCGAGGGCTACCGACACCCCCATTAGCTGTGCGTATTGGGACCGCAATGCCACGGAAGTTACCTGGGGGCCCAAAGGGTCTTCGGTCCCAGGGAGAGCTTCGTTCCAGAGCCGGCGGCTTACGGTGCCGCTCAGACTGTCCTGGGGGTGTGTCCCGTCGCCTGAGCCCCCAGGCTGGCTGTGGTCCCGCTTCGGGATGCTAATAGCGCTTCCTGCGTCTTTTCCCTAGAAATGCACTGCATGTGCTCACCTGCTCAGCATCCAGGAGAAACAGAGCACGTGTGTGTCCACGTCCACGTCCTAAGCAGATGTCATACTCTGATTTGGCTCTCAACAGGGTGGACAGGGAGGGACGAAGGGAAAAGCAAGAGCATGTGACAGCATTCTGGACTTCTCACGGCACGCAGGGCGCCCCGTCCTCCCCCCGACTCCTGAGACAGCCCCCCTCACGTCCGAACCTGCATGCGCTCCTCCCGCCCGGTCCCCCGGACTTCGCTGACGAGACCCTCCATCCTCAGCAGCCTCGGGTCCCTTCCAGGCACACAGTAGGACTCGGGCAGTGAGACGGGGTTGTGGGGGTGAGAAGGGGGGATCACAGATTTGTCGGGTGGGATGCTGGTGCTGCGGGCTCGTTAAAAAATAAACCCCAACCCATTAAAGGCGGGTCTGTGAGTGTTCCCGGCTGGAGCGATGTCATGGCTGACGTCTGCTTGAAGTCACGAGAGCAGATGTGTGAATGCGCAGACACCCCCGTGCGTGCACGCACACACCGTCGCTTCTGCGGTGTCCATCATTATCCTCGGCCCCCCTGGCCGGGCGGCCGCCTCGTCCGCCATCACCAGGGGGCCTCGTTTCCGTCATCACGGTGCTGATTTTTATACGAAAAGCGAGAGATACAAAATCCCAATCGCCCGATTTGGGCCAGCTTTTTTTTTCCCTCCAAAAAGGATCACATCCAAATTCTGCCAAACAACAATCTCAAAGAGCCAAGGCACCCAAAACAAAACAGGCTGACAAGAAAACCCCCACTTCGGCCGCGCCGAGCTGCGGACACATTTTTACCCCCACGCCCTCCCCGCGCCAGGGCCGCCGGCCAAGGGACCGCGTGCGACATTCCCCAGCCCCGGCCGATGCCCAAGCAGGAGGAGCTGGGGTCAGACGGGCTGTGAAAGCGGCCTGGGGTTTGGAGCTGGGCCTTTTTCCCTGGTTTAATTCCAGTCTGTCTCGGGCGATGTGCGGGATCCTGTAACGCGGAACAGATTCGTTCGTGCTATTCGAACACCTCTCGGGTGGACAGAAACGTTGGCAAAGGCTCAGGCCGCAGGATCTGAGGGACGATGACACGTGTCGGGCGTATGGGGAGGTCGTGCCTGGGACTCAGGGGAAAACCCCGAAAATGGCCAGTGGTGATTTAACCTGCGCTGAGCACACGCACGCCAGCCTCTCACAGGGCGGACCCCTGTACCCCCTGCAAAGGAGAAGGTGCTGAGCCCAGTTTTCAGAGGAGGGAACCCACGCACACGGACGTGGGGAGACCCGCCCGGTGCCCCCGAGCTCGTGAGTGGGAGGACCAGGATTTGAACCCGGTTCCCGCCTCTGAGCCCCAACCGCACGCCCGCGGGAGCCCGGGACTGCTTCGTAATTCTCGCCTGAGGCCGATGGCTGACGCCCTCACGTGAGCCGGGTCCTGCCCATCCGCCATCTCTTTCTTGCCCATTTTCTCGTCCACCTTGTTGGGTCATTTACCGTCACAAAGTCAAGGTCGCCACACCAGTCAGCCCGTCGCCATGCTCGCCAGCTACCCCGAGACAGAAGGAGGCTGGCACCTGCAAGGAACAAGGGACAGCCCCCGAGTGGACCCCGGAACAGGACAGAGCACGGGCGAGACTGGAACACGGTCCGGACACGGACACTGGTCCTCGGTTGGGACCGATGGGGCCCGTGACGCAGGCTCTTCACATCCCGGGGAGGACGCGGCGTCCGTGGACTGTCCGTGGTGTTTTCACGGGCTGCCCGTACATCCGAAAGTATCGCCAAGTAAACCATGACGATATTTTTTAACGAGGTGGTCCACGCGTGCATGGAACACGATGGGAGGCTTTGGGGGGCGGGGGGCGCTTCCTTGAACTTCGTGCCAGCACGACAGACAGGTGGGTTCTCGAAGGGCTGGTCCTTCAATAAATGCCTTTGAGGTTTGCCCTTAAAATATCTCCATTTTCTCTGTCCTGAAGATGTTTAAGTGAGATCATCACTGGCTGTGGAGAAGGGAGAGGGCGCCCCCAGACTCGGTTGGGTGCCTGATGCGAAAATACACACGTACGCCTTAAACTTTTTAAACAGTTGTTGGCATTACCCAGATGGAATTATTCCATTATGAAGACTTTATAATTGAGCTTTAAGTGTCCCTCGAATGCCCGTGCTTAAAAGTAATAATAACTAGTATCATTAAATAGCGATGATTAATATTTGATTGAATATTGAATAGTTAAATATTAAGAAGCAAACATACTTCATGTCTAACTAAATACATATTTGATAATAATGTATTATTTCCCACATTTGAGGGAAAGATAAACCTCAACGGATGGGGAAATGACCACCCTGCAAGGATGTGGGACATTCGGGGGCACGCTGTCCCCGGTGAGGCCAAACGGCGACTCTGAGGCCACCCGCTTTTGAAAAACTGATTGGTGAGTGGTCACCCCTCCAGTGGAAGTCACCAAGAGGGGCTCAATGTGGAGGCATGGGGGACAAGTCGGACAGCTACAGGGACAGGCTGGGAACATCCGGGTCCTGTCCGGCAGTTCACAGCCATGTGGGCAGAGCTCCAGGGACAGGCACAGAGGATCTTTGGGACCTGATCTGAGTTTCAGAGGTGAGGGGCCAGGGTGGAGCGTCACGCTGCCCGCCCAGCCCCCAGCTCCGCGAGGGGGCCGGCCAGACCCACCACTGAACTCCAGTCCCCGTACTGGTGTCAGGGCACCGTCCCCTGGCACCCAAACCTGGTGCAAAGGACTGCCTGATGCTTCGCAGGGAATCAGCAGTGCAGAAAATTAAAGAAAAACAGAGGTGACCATGCCGTCATAATACATAACAGGGTGCCACGCCGACTTATACATGTACACCATGTATAAGACACGTGCACACATACATACGCACACACGTACGCATATGTTAGTTTATGTACATATGTGCATATTCGTCCGGGGACATTTTGGGTTATCACAACTGGGCCAAGTGCTGCTGGCACCTGATGCGTCGAGGCCACAGACACTGCTCAATACCCTGCAATGCACAGGACACCGCATGTCAGAGTCATCGTCCCAGGTGTCAGTGGGGAGGTTGAGAGAACATAGCCTAGCATGTAAGATTCTGTGACTGTATATCCATCTATCCATCACCTCTCTCTCTCTCTCTCTCTCTTTCTCTCTCTCTCTCTCTCTCTCTCTCTCTCT